AAAAGCCTATACAGCTTCTCTATGGGCCCTTGAGATTCTTGGGACCCAGTCTGGTGAGGAAGCCAAGGTGCTACACAGTAGTCAGGTCACACGCTCTTCACAGTATTAACTGAGCTCGCAGGCAACAGCCAACATCAACCACTGAGTTTGAGTGAGTGGATGGACCTTGAAATGATTTCAACCATCCATTGGAGTTGGCACAGACTGAAACAGAGAAGAGCTGTCCTAGACAAGCCTACTCAGACTGTAGGTTTGCGAACAATTATTGTGTTAAGCTCCTATACTCCAGGATGGTTTGTTATACGATGATAAGTAACCAGAACAATTATTAAGACCTGTATGCTCCCTAGTCCAGGCTGGGTTTAGAAGTGGTCGTGGTACTAGGGATATTGTAGCTGGTGTTAGATGGATCTTAGCTGAAGGCAGGGAATACGAGAGGAAAGTCTATTTGTGTTTCATTGATTATGCAAAGGCGTTTGACAGTATGGATCATAACAAACTGTGGCTAACTCTGAGAAGAATGGGAATCCCAGAACACTCGATCATGCTAATGAGAAACCTATACTTGAACAAAGAGGCAGTCGTCAGAACATAGCAAGGTTCAAAACTGGGAAGGGCATACGCCAGGGATGTGTCCTGTAGCCATACCTTTTCAACATGTATGCAGAACAGATTATCCGGGAGGGTGGGCTCTATGAGAAAAAGTGTGGTGTCAGGATTGGTGGAAAATTCATTAACAATCTGTGTTATGCCGATGACACACCCTGCTTGCTGAAACTCAGGAGGACCTGAAACGCTTGCTGCAGAGGGTCAAGGACTGCAGCTTCCAATATGGATTGAGGCTCAATGTCAAGAAGACAAAGATTCTCACCACTGGACCAATTGGCAGCATCAGGATGGATTGAGTGAAGAGATTGAGATTGTTCACAGCTTTAGTTTGCTTGGCTGCACAGTCAACACTCTCAGCACCAGTAGCCAGGAAAATAAAAGACGTATTTCGATGGGAAATCTGCTGTTAGGGACCTCTCCAAAGTACTGAAGAGCAATGGTGTCT